ACCGATGCGCTAGCTGGTTAGTGATGGCGTGCCATCCAGTAGCTCCGGCTGCTCCAATTTCAGCTTCACCCCATGTTTCTTCTCCGAGATTTCGAGTATGCAGGTATGTGTGTGTGTGTGTGTGTGTGTGTGTGTGTGTGTGTGCGCGCGCGCGTCCATGTGTCGAGACCAATGTTCATTGCCCTGACATTCATCCCCCTCCTCGTTGGCAGGTCGAACACCTTGCACAATGTCCAAACCGTCCGATCTTCAAAAGATAGAGTCTAGTCCCATCGCAGCGTTTCATCACATTGCAGAAAGTCAATCTTAAGGCTGGCTGGCGTCTTAGTGCACTGCTTGTTTCACACTTCCATCCCCTTTCCCCTTTCCCCTTCCCCTGGTCTCCCTGCATATCGTAAATGATACTTGGTCCAGGTGGTAAACCTAAGTAGCTGGTAGGGTAGCCACCGGTCACGAATGCTGCGTCAAGTCGATTCGTGCCGCGCCGTCTCCGTTTCCGACTGGCCGGATAACTAGGGGTCGCCAGAAGTGGGGCCATGAGCGCGGGTGGGAGCCGGTTCCGCGAACCTGGTCACACCGAAACCCCTCGTCACTCGTCACAACCAGGGGGGGCGGAGACAAGGGTCTCTCTTCTCTCTGGCTGAACCACCACATCCCTTGACCCCTGGCATGTGCTGTGCAGCGTGTACGACAGTTGCCTGGTGGTCTGCGGAGCAGAAGCAGTCAAGTTTGCATTTCACTCGCGATGCGGCGGCCTTTCACGTTACTAGTTCCGAGCCCAGTGGCTCTGTTCATTTCATGATGCATACAGTGGTCTATTGACGTCTCTTGTGCTCCGTGTGCCAACCCATGAAACATGCACATCGTGTTTCCTGCCTCCTTGGGAACCTGCCCAGCCGACCTCTTATCCTTCCGTTGTATCCATAGAGTCGCCCAAAACCTTGGCCTTGGCGGCCTCAATCTTCTCCGCCTTCCAGGCTTCAATCCTCTCCCGCAGAGCCTGGTCAGGCACCACGTCCTCGATCGTCATTGGCTGACGTGTAAAGGGGTCCTTGGGGTCAGACAGAAGGTGCTGCATGATGGTCGAACGATCGACGACATGCTGCGAAGGCAGCATGACCGGGTCCTTCATCAGGTCGCCAAGGATGGGGTCCTCAAAGTCTGCAGGGATCTCGCCGAGATCCAGTTCTGCCTGGTCGGCAATGGCCTTGGACTCCTTGAAGCTGTTCTTGAGGGCATCAAACCTTCTCAGCTCGACATCGTCCTTCATGTGGCGCTTCATCAGAATGAATCCTGCCTTGTCAAAGGTTTCAGGCTTGTACGAGCGTCCGTCGGCGGCGACGGCGTCGATGAAGGCCTGCGAGTTGGCAAGGTTGAGGTAAATGTCGACAAAGTCGGACAGCAGCACTCGCGGCTGAAAGTGGTATTTGGAAGGATCATTAACCTTCAATTGGCCCATCTTGGGGCCCGCCAGCGTCTCGAGGTTGTAGTTGAGCATGCTCGCTAACCGCTGGACAATCTCTGGCATTGTGAAAGCATCGGCAAGGGCCGAAGTGAAGAGCTTCATCATGGCCAGGGTCTCATTGGCCAGCTGCATATAGGATCCGGCCTGACCTTCCAGAGTCTGAAGCTCCTCGAGCTTCTTTTCGCGATCTTCAGGCGTCATGCCGGGATTCTGTTCGAGCTCAGCTTGCAGCTGATGAATCTTGGGGAACTTGGTCAAGGCTTCGTCAAGCACATAGGTGGCATCATTGAGAAGCAAGTTGACGAATTGAACAAAAAACTGTCGGTTGACCTTGCTCTCGCGTGCAAGCTGCTCCCTGTACACGTCGTTGCCCCAGACACACTTGATGACCTGGAAAATCTCGTACCGGATGTTGAACTTGTCATAGAACTGCGTGTGTGCACCTGTGGACTCGGCCTCGATGTAAAACTTCATCAGCGCCCGGAGAAGATGCTTGTTGGCGAATTTTGAGCCGTACAGCTGGTCGCCGAGAACACCTTTCTTGAAGTGAGAGAACGGCCAGGTTCCGGAAAAGAGAAGCGTGACTAAGGAGGACTTGAGATATGGGTTCTTGATGAACTCTGATGATTGCAGGAATGCAATGCAGAGAGCAATCATTTCGCTGCCGACAGCTGACGGCATAATTTGAGGCAGGTATCTGCATGACGATCAGTATACACGATGGAGGCTCTCCATTCAGCTCGAAACGGCTCACCGGTATACGAATTTAAAGTTGTCTACCACATCTTGTAGAGCATATTCGGGCAGACACGCAAACGCCTCCGGCTGGGGCGAAGGCAAGGGGAGTGCTAGATCCTTCTCCGGCGTATAGGCTGATTGGCTGGCAAGACGCAGCATCCAAACCGCCACATACTTCATGAATCGCAAGGACAGTTCTTGCATCTTATCGTCGAGAAAAACACCCTCAATAGCGTTCTTGGACGCTATTGCCTTCTCCAACACATCTGTATGCCTCTTGAGGCTGACTTCGAACATGGCAAGTCGAGCAGGGTTCTCGTTATCATTAGCAATGACACCGTTCAAAGTGGGGTTTCGCACACTCACATTAGCCAATTTGTATCGCTCTGCCTCCATGGCCGTGATATGCTTTTCGTAGAACTTTATGTCTCGGTCCAATGATTTCAGCTTCGAGTTGGTCGCGCCGCTGCCGTAGTGATGGGCAGCCAGGGCCAGGAAAAAAACCTCGGATATAAAATTGGAGCTCTTAGAATCTGCGTTGGCGTAGAAGGCATCTGAGGCGGCTTGGTCGGCGTTAATCTTGGTCTCGTCCTTGATGCTTACCCTAGGGTTGCGCCTGAAGTAGTCGACCTCGATCCTGTCAACCTTGGAAAAGGTTGTGTCCATGAAGGGCGAGCAGAAGCGGTCGAGAATAACAGTTAAGTTGACCATGAAGCCGTCTGAAGAGACCTCCCGAGGATCAACCTGGATAGCTCTTCGCTTGTGGTTAGTATTGACGCCGAGAGCGCACCAGTCGAGCATGCGGTTTCTCGTGTCAGAGTCAGAACGAATGAAGGCGTTGGCAATCGCGAAAAGCTCATCCTGGTATACCCGCAGAATGGCACGAAGAGCATCTTGTGACTGCGCCGCCCTCCCCTTGTCGAGTGAGCGAGGGTTCGGGAAGTATGTCAGGCTGACTTCGGACTGAAGCGGCGACAGTCGGAAGAAAGGGCCGAGTATGGTCTTCCTCTCCACTTCTGGGCCAGTGGTGGCTGACAGAAACGTTTCGTGTTCGGAGACCGCCCTTAGCAGAGGAGGGAATTTTGCATAAAAGGACAAGGCCTGGGTAGGTCAGCAAAAGCTACCCCGCCATAAGCAGTGTTACTCACGTTCAAGTAGGGCCGGTAATCAGACTCCATGCTCATATCAGACAGCTTCACGCTGATGACAGCCATTGCATCTGCAAACACGGCGGGGTACTGCTCGTCCTCCGGAAATCGGGAAATGACGTCCTTGGTAAAGTCGATGGAGATGGAATCCTCATGTTCTTGGCTTCTGAGGAGAAATGTTGCAAGGTCGTCAGGCTGGGGTCGCCTGGGCAGACAGTCAATAAGGGGTCGGGTCGAGAAGTTCAACAGCCAGAGCGTACGTACCCGAACAGATCAGGAATCGTCAGCGCAAAGAGACAGTAGCTCATACAGAGTCTCTTCGCCTCCTCCAAAACCTCTCTCTTCTGCTTCTCGTCATGCTTGAGCAAGGCCAGAGTTCGACTGACCCTCTTCCAGCATGGTAGCAAGTACCGAAGAAGTGGTGTCGCGTGCGGTTGCGCCGTAGCTGCCTCCAACAATGTCGTATCGAGGACTGCCACGGTGAACTTGGCGGGCGCACCGACCTCGGCAAGTTCGGAGGCTACGCCTGGCAGGAATGTGGTTTGGTGGCCGTGGCCGTCATCCGTTTGACTGGGATTCAAGGTGATTCGGAATAACGAGCTGACGGTGCGGTGGGTATAGTCATCGATAGACTCCTCGGGCGCCATATTGGGCTTTTTGGTTGCCGGCTGCGTAGCCTGTGGGCGGTCATCAATCTTCGCGGCGGCCCGCTTATGCGATCGGTCCGGGATGGTCGAGGACTGGGAGGAAGAGACTGGCGGTTTGTCTGCTGGTGTTGGCGTCACGTTGATCTTGCGCTTCTCGCTCGCCTGGGCTGCCGGCGATGCGCGTTGTTCGGGAGTCGGTGCTGACGGAGTTGTGGACGAGCCCTCTGGCTTAGTGGAGGAGCCGCTTTCTTCGGAGGGTTTCGGTGAAGCTGTGCCTAATTTGGCAAGCCGCCTCAGGCGGATCTGAGAGGGGGACAAGAATGGTCAGCTATCAAATCTTCCGCGGTGGGTGGTTCAGAACCAGATGGAACTAAGCTTGGTAATCCCGAGGCTGAGAGACAAACTTGTTCCATGGTGTTGCGGTCTGGAGCATCCGGTGTGGCTGCCGGGAGCTGGCTGGGATCCTGTGAGGGGTCCATTCTGATAGCTCCTTATTCTTTCGTAGAGAAGACAATCGCCGCGGGAAGAGAGTTGAGGCACGCGAGGTTGAAGATGGAGAAGACGTTACAGGGTATGCGATGACGAAGTGGAAGTGGTGGTGGTCGACAGGTGGTAGCGTGAAGAAAGTGGGGACTTGAAGCTCCCACTCCCACTGACTGGTGCTGGGTCCTTGCCTTGTTCAGTTGGAGGTGGGGGCGAAGGCGAAGGCGCGGGGAGGAAAGTCCGCCAAAGTCCGATTCATATCTATCCTTTCATCTTGCGTCAAACGGAGTATATTCATGAACTTAGCTGCACAGGTTCAACTCCGCAATCAAAGCCATTTCTGTCCCGAAAGCAAAATACATTGGCGAAGAGAAAACAGAAGAGGAAAAGGCTAGAATACAGTTCAAAGAGGAAGTCTGAGGCTGAGAGACATCACGGCCCAAAGACGAAAGGGTATTTTCTATGCAGCCCCCCAATAACGCCACTGACAATGCATCACCCACCCGAACCGCAGCGACCTCAGAGCCGCGGGACGCCATTAGACCCATCACTCAATCTTCTCAGAGTTGATGGACCCTCTGCCTCGCTGTCCGAGCCCCCTCTCCCACGGCCGACTATCCTGACCGCTCCCCCGCTACCATTGCTTCCCCCCGTATTCGAAGAACCTCCAGAGCCAGCGGCCGAGGCACCCCCCATGGTCCGATTTGCCAGTCGACTGCGCTCTACTTCTTCGCGGCTTTTATTCATGAGCCAGGCCACGTGCATCTTTAGGATGCCAAGGTTGCTTCGTATTTCCGTGATCTCGTTTTTAATGGGCATTACCTCGTTGAGAACCATCACCGTTTGCCGGCCCTCAAGATCAGTCAGGTCCTTCTTGACTGTTTCGATGCGACGCTCGACGTCTTCGTAAACACCCATGACAGCCTCTTCGGCGGTTCCGATCTTACGACTATAGGGGCTCAGGCGCATGATGTCTAAGGAGCTGCCGCTTTGCTGCTCCTGGAACTGACGCTGCAGCTCTTCGATCTGTTTGTCCCGCCTGTCATTCTCACGCTGCAGTCGCTTCATCTCGGCTTCCTGCCGCTTGAGGGTCTGGCCGATGACGTCGCAGACCTGATAGGGGCAGCTCTCATGGTGGGTGCGCAGCTGCTGACGCTTGGCGGTCTGTCGGCAGCCAAAGTCCGTGTACTTGCAGGGCGCTGCAAACTCTAGACACTCGTCCAGGACGTGCTGGTTCATGGCAGGCATAGGGACCATCTCGTCGCAAAAGATGCAGGCCTTGGTATTCCGAGTGCAGGCCTTGGACAGGTGCTCATGTAGAACGGCGCGCTCGACGAGGCCTTCGCAATGCTCGCAGGCCACCTCCTCGTGAAGACATGTCGACTCATTCTGGTAGAGCAGCCACCTAGGGAGCCTTTTATCGCAACCAGGATCCGGACAGGGCATCATGGTGTATTCGCACTTGTCGTGGACATGCACAAGGACGTCCTCCCGTTTGACCTGTTCGGTGCAGCCCCTTTCGGTATTTGGACACTCGACAATAAGGTTATCGAGCAGATTCCGGATCAACCTGGAGGCAGGAGCGACATGCTTGACTCGAAAGGTTCTTCTGTCGACGGGACAGGTGTGGCTGGCCTCGCAAGCTTGCTTGAGACATGCGTTGCAGAAGGTATGGTCACACGTGGTAGTAACAGGCGTAACGAAGGGTGCCTTGCAGATTGGGCAGGTCAGATTGTCATCGACCGCCTCAGGGTAGACGAGGGCGGAGAAGTCGACAAGCTCGAGGGCTGTCTCGGGACTGATGCCCGCATGGCGCGTGTATTCAAACTCGAGTAGGTTTTCGACCGGCCATCGATTGGGGGGATGGGTCAGAGGCATGGATATGTCCCTGAGATTCGGACCGTCGAAGGCGGCATCGCCATGCCCTTCTGGACCACCTAGATCCGGGAACGTGTGAGGATCCGACATGTGAGGATGTCGAACAGGGGCAGCGGCGCCCGGTGCCTCGGCGGCAGACTGTCGAGCGAGGCGTCGCAAGGACCGCAGGCTGAGTCGGTGAGCACTTTCGTTGGCAGACCTTGTGCTGGTGGGCAGGCCAAGGTTGAATGGCGTGCCAGCACCGGCGCCGGTGCCGGTGGTTGGCGTCAAGGGGATAGTGTCACGGTCGGACCGGGTTGCTTCTGCTACAGTATTGGCAATGCGCCGCGCGGTGTCGAAGTGCAAGCCGTAGTCTTCGGGGGCAGAGTTAGTTTGAGAAGGTGGCATGACGTCGATCGTCGTGGCGATAATGACAGGAGTAATGGCGGCGGTGACAGTGTGTGCGACCGAGGAATGCGATACTGCATCTACGTTCCTCAGTGGGAGTAAGGTATCCGCATGGCGTGGAAAGGTGAAGATGCGGTATTCACAGGTCGTAAACGGGTCGTGTCGTGGGTGGGGAGAAAGGTTGGTCGGAAGGTAAGAGAGATAGGAGAGGCAAGGGAAGGAAGGCCAAGTCAGGTACCATTCAGTCGAGAGGCTACAGAGGGGCGCGCGCCCGCGCACCAGCCGGCGGGGTTGATGTTTTTGCGGCTCCACGAGAACGAGCGACGTGCCGGTGACGACACTGAAAGCCGAGGGCAACTGGCGATGGACCGAAGCCACTAAAATCCAGGGTTCATCCACTCGTGTGTTTGCCCATGGGCCCCTGCCTTTCCCTTCCCTGCCCTTCCATTGCAATGACTGGCAGGGAGGGAAGAGGGGAACGACCGAAAGGAAGGCGTCCCCGCTACTTGCACGGTTTACATGTACGACAGCAGGGGACTCGGCAGCACCTGCCAAGCTGCTCAGTCTTTGCTGGTCTCACCTGCCAATGCCTACGTCTGACGGTCGCGTCGACTGTCTCCACCCAAAAAGCGACGAGGATCGCGACGCACATCGTTCTACCACACCTGTTCGACCCTTCACACTTCACACAATAGCACTACCCATTAGAGAACATGTGCACCGGCCGACAACTCTGGACGATGGCACAAGCCTCTTCTTCTGTCTACTCGTACCTCAGTACCAGGCCGTCACAAATCATCTCCCTTCACTAGAGTCGCAGCAACCGCCGGCCTGATGTCCCGTGGGGGCCAAACCGCTGCAACCGCCTGTTGTCGACAAGGATGGCGTACGCTGTATGCACCAAAGATCCTTCAGCTGCATTTCAGTCCCTTCCTCGCTCACTTCGTGCGTCGACCGCCTCCACCAAACAAGGGGCACGACAGCACAAATGGCCCGGCCACGTCCACGGTCCTAGGCCGAGCCGTTTCGGCTGCCCTCAGCCTTGCGGTCTAGATCACAACAGCTGACGATAAAACTGCTGACGTCCCCGATCTTCATTTTCTCTCTTCTTCTTCAGCTTCCAGTCGTCTTCTCTTTTCACCTCTGCCCATGCCATATCCAGGTGCTTGCCACTGCTTTAGACCGCTTACATTGACGAGGAACAACCGTTGCAATGCCCAAGAAGAAGTCGCCTCAGGAACAGCTGTCCGCTTTTTGGTCCAGCTTCCACTCCAGGTCTCCCGGAAAAGTCACCTCCATCTTTCCCCGTGCCCTGTACGCAAACCTTCTGCCATCCTTGGATGCCAACCATCCCAAATGGCGCACCAATGAGCACTCCACCTCCCGCAACGCCCAGGAGTCGTACGAGGCAGCCGCGCGTGAGTGCCGTGCCCGCGTTCGCCGCATCGTCCGCGAGTGTGAACGTACCAATGAGAAGTTCACCGATCCCGATTTCGACATTGAACGCGATCCCAGCAATAATTGCCTCAATCGCCTCATCCGCGACGATGCTCAAGTCGTGGCCAACGATCAGTACATCGATAACGATCCCCAGGCTGCTCCAGGGATGGCGACGACCACCAGTCGGGAGTCCTGTGATGCGAAACCTGTTCTGCAAAACTGTCGTCCTGGAGCCGGCGTTGAATATAGTTTTGGCTCCATTCATCGCGTTGACTGGATCTTTGAGAACCCTCAGTTTACCATTAACGGGTTCTCCTCGTCTGATATCAAGCAGGGCAGCGCTGGTGACTGCTGGTGGCTCGCTGCCATTGCCACCATAGCCCACCGCCGTGACCTGATGGACCGCGTCTGTGTCGCTCGCGACGAGGAGTGCGGCGTCTACGGTTTCGTTTTTCAACGAGACGGCGAGTGGGTCTCAACTGTCATCGACGACAACCTTTACCTCAAGATGAAGGACTTTTCCGACTACCACGCCAACGTCTATGATCATACGGGCCATAGGTCGAGAACATGGCGCAAACGCTATCAAACTGGCAGTGAGGCACTGTATTTTGCCAGATGTGACGACCCCAACGAGACGTGGCTTCCGTTGCTTGAAAAGGCGTTTGCCAAGTGCCATGGTGACTATGAGTCTCTGACGGGGGGCTGGCCTGGCGAAGCTGTCGAAGACATGACTGGCGGCGTTACCACGACAATCATGTCGAACCGCGTATTGCGCCGTGACAAGCTTTGGAGGGAACTCGCGAGCACTGACGGAGGCTTCGTGTTCTCGCTGGCTGCGATGGGCTCAAGCTGCTACTCGGAACGAAATGGCATCGCCATGAGTCATGCCTACTCCATCTTGCAGTCGCGAGAGGAATCGGACGAGGAGGGTCGGCGCGTTCGTCTTGTCAAGATTCGAAACCCTTGGGGCCAGCGCACCGAGAGGGGGCTTGGCGAGTGGGCTGGCGCCTGGTCTGATGGCTCCAAGGAGTGGACGCCGTATTGGCTCGCGAAGCTTGGCCACGAGTTCGGTGACGACGGCGTATTCTGGATGTCGTTTGACGACATGCTTCAGACGTTTAGCCATATACATCGTACACGCCTCTTTGACGAGCGGTGGACCGTCGTGCAGCGATGGACAGCTGCGCACGTCGCATGGGTCACGGGCTATCTGCGATCAAAATTCGTACTCGAGGTCAAGGAAGCCGGCCTCGTGGTGCTGGTGCTCGCGCAGCTTGACGATAGGTACTTCGAGGGCTTCGCTGGTGGATACAGTTATGAGCTACACTTCACGTTGCAGAAAGCAGGGGCTGGCAAGGGAGGGCAGAGCGATCAGATCTGTCGCGTGCGACCAGCTCACGACATGGAGAATCGGAGTGTCAGCTGTGAGGTTGAACTAGAGGCGGGTCGATATGAGGTCCTCCCGAAAATCACAGCTACGCGCGAGAAGGACGCGTTGAGCGTTGGAGACCTCGTCAAGAAGTACGCCAACGTGAACCCGCAAAAGCTGCGCCAGGTGGGCATGCAGTATGACCTTGCCCATGCCAAGGGAGGCGTACCGGACGAAGACGGCATGCTAGAGAGCAAGAAGACCGAGCTCAAGCGGAAGAAGGCTGAGAAGAAGAAAAGGATGGCGGACAAGAAACAAAAGGCGAAGGCCGAGAAACAGAAGCAGCGCACTTTACGAAGGGCAAAGAGAGCTATGAGAAAGGCCAAGAAGGCTATTGACGAAGTAGTCAATGGCAATGATTCTGGAGATGGCGTGAATGAGGCCCAGTGTCGCAAAACGAACACAAACACCACCATCGACACCAACGGAGAGCAAGAGACGAAGGATATAGATTCCTCTCAAGCCGCCAAACGCATTAATGACGATCCGGTTGATAATCCCACGTCCACGGCGGACTCAACAGCCATTGAGCAGGAGTCGAAACACGATGTTGACGAGCTTGCAAAACTTATCGATGATATTGCGAAACCCGCCGATGACGAAACGACGCCCCCCACGACTGCTGCGGTTATACCCACTCTGCTGACGCCCCCGTCCCAGAGCCCTGCGAGCCAGTCGGGTGGGGAAGAGCAAGAAGCCACGGCGGCTGCCCAATCTGCTGAAACAGAGGCGGCAACGGAGACTGAGAAAACCGATTCTGAAGATTCTGAATCCGGGTCATCGTCGGAGTCTGACACCGAATCGGACACGGACTCGGATTCTAGCCATGATAGCAGCGACGACGCTGAAACGCCGTGGAACGCCGTCTGCGTGATCGGGCTTCGCGTTTACGCTCGTGATCCCTCCGTGTCGGTGTCGCTGGTCAAGCCTGACGACGATTTTGAAGGGGCGGCCTTGACGGTCGATGGGGAGCCTGCGGGTGCCACAATGTGAGGTGAAGGGCATTATCGGGGTTTCGTGAGAAGGTAGAGCAGTTCGCCGAGTACACATAGGAAGACATTTGTTCTGCTGTTCTAACGCATCCCGCCACAAGTTCCTCACGCAGCATCAAGCTCAAGCTTTGCGTAGTGCTCCTGAATCTGTTGACCTAGATGGCCGCCATCCGCAGCATATTGCGCTAGCTCCAAGACAAGTTGCGCCCATAACTTGCATTCTTCGTCATTCCTGAGCCTCCAGTGGTCAACGGCGTGATTCTAAGCGACCGTTACCAGCCACTGGACCTCCTCGGGCGGGAAGGAGAAGCCGCTCTTTGTCACAGACCGTCAGTAATTTTGGTATCATCTACTCAGCAAACCAGAGACTTACCTCTGCCGAGGCTCTAGCTTTGCTGATCGCCTCTTGCAAAATCTGTCTGCCCAGTTCGCTCTCAAGTGGGAGCACGGCCTGGAACAGACATCGCATGTACTTGGCCAGCCTCGTCGGGTCGAACCGCTCAAGGTTCCAGATTTCGTTGATGATCTGTCTCAGCGCCGAATAGAGGTCTGCCAGAATCAGCACAACAATCCCGCATCGGTTTCAGTCATAGCCCGCCTACCTCGCGGGGGGGCGTGCCCCCTGAGAAGACAATCCGCCATGGACTTGAAGGTTTCGACAGAAGCGCATTGCTTGGCTCTGCGCACGATTCCACTCAGCTCATTGTATAGCTTTAGATGAACGGCTGCCTCGAGATCAAAGACCAGCAAGCTGGCAAACTTCTGATATAGGTCTTTTGACGTCAGCTTGTCCATCTTGTTGAGACACATGCGCTCCTGAATCTGAGTGTCAAATGCCACCACATGTTGCCTGAGTGAGCTATACACTTGCGATTGTCGCTCGAGATCATCTTGAGTGCGGGCTACCGAAACCATTGCTGAAGCGACGACAAAGTGGCTAAGTGTAGACCTGAGACGAATGTCATCGGCCTCTTGCGTCGGGATGTCGGATGGATAGTACTCGCGCACTGCGAGCCCGACCTGCATCATTCGTATGATGTGGTCGAGATCCCACGAGCCCAAGCGGCTGATCCCAAGGTTGTACGAGTTCTTGCAGAACCAGTGGAGCTCTTTGACAGTATAGAGTAGGTTACCCTGAGGGTCCTTTGGAGCGCGCTTGATGTCCTCCACAGCTATGCTCTCGTCAGCGGGAAGCAACTTGTAATGCGTGGTCATACATGGAACGTACCGTGTTCAAATGCCTGACAGAGCTCTTCGACCAGCTGTCTCTCCACCTTCGACGTGGAACCCGAGGCAACGGTAGCATCATCGCCCATGGCGTCCTGCAAACATCGAATGGCAGATCTCAAGAGTGCTGGGCGGTGCAACTGCGTGGATGTGCAGTTGTCAACCAATGCACTGATTGCTCGATACGTACACACATTATCGCCAGTTTTCTGTGCATCAAGAATGCAGGCGTATAAGAGCGAGGGGTCCTTGATACCTGTCTTGGCGAGACCCTCAAGGCCTTGCTTGACAAAATCATGAAGTTGATATCGCAGCCCAGCTTTATAAATGAGATAGTTTGCCAGCGGCTCACTCGGAGGCTCGGCGATGTAATGACTTATGACGTCGAGCAGCACTTCTTTCGGGGCGTTATTCTCAACTGCGCTACGAAGTCGTAATCTTCGACGTCAACCGTCAGCAAATTGGTGATGTGCTGGAATCAGTGGCGCTACCTGTAAAATTTGCCAAAATTGATCGGGCCAGCCTTTACGAAGACGACCTGATTCAACGCCAGTGATGCCTACTTCCTGGCCTCTGCATGATCAGACTCCGGCAGGGTTTCGATCTTCTTCCAGATGATCTGAGGGGCAATGAGCTGGTGCAATTGTGCTACTGGGTAGCTCAGACTTACGGTATGTGCAGCCACGGCGGTCGAGGCTTTCAGTGATTTACCCTGAAGGACACAAACATCGACTAAGACGTCTGTGACAGAGTCCAATACTGTGGATGTAGATATCTGACGAACAGACATGGAAAGTCGTCGCAAGACTGCCCGTTCAACCCAGGCATCCCGCTCGGAATTTGCGATTCGGGTTCTGAGCCACTCGTCGGTGATGTCACATCCCAAGTCTTGATCCAACTGAAACAAATTCCATGTGTGCGGCTCGATCAATCTGTAGTACGGCTCGGAGTGGTTGAAGCTCCTCACTAGACCAAGGATGCAAGTGGCGTAAGCCTCCTTGTCAAACACCTCCGGTCTCGATCGTTGAAGAACCTCAAGGCGTAGGACTAACACGACGGGAGTTTCGCCAACCTCTGAGGATATGCTTTGGACAATGTTGGATGCAGTCTCGAAATCTTGGGGCTCTTCCGTGCTGAGAAGGGCGTTGACAAAAGCACCACCGATAATGAGGCGTAGATGGGCGGCTCGTTGGGATAATCTATCCAGAGCTGGAGTGTTGATAGCTTTATACGCTCGTCCGAGCCATCTGGTTGCCATGGAGAATTGAGTGTCAGTCAAATAACGTTTACCAGTGGCAAACAGAACCTCAGCTAGGTTTTCAGCCGACGTCGGATCTAGAGATGCTCGCAGCTGCTCGACCTTGGCATACATGTGCTCGGCAATGTCAATGCGAGACTCCTTCAGGGCCTGCGATTCTGATATCAGCCCAACCATGCCTCCGAGTGAGGCCTTCAACAGAGACCTACAAGAGCTGTACGAAGAATCAGATATTCTGCTTCCAGTCGGTGAGACAATTCGAGCTCGTCAGGATCGAGGCTTGGACGCAGCCTGGGGAAAAGCAAAGTATATTCTGCAGCCTTCTGCAGAACTGTGACCGCACTGCCGTGGTCCTCGTCGCCTAAAGCCGGAATCAGTGAAAAAAAGGCCTTGGAAGAATACGTACGCACCTACCTATGAAGAGTGTCGCAACCTTGAACACCATGGAGAAGAGCAACTCCACATCCCCCATCTTGACGTCTAATCCTTCGTCCCCTGTCCAAAGAGCCAGATGCATCATCAGAAATGCCAACAGACGGCTCTGCAGCAGCAGCTTCGTTCGGACTGGGAGCATCTCCGCAGATTGACTGCGTTCACTGGCGACGCAGAGGTTGAACAGCTCTCTCGCGCGGCTCGCGAGCTCCACGCCTGAGCGTTTCTTCAGCGCCGATTTTGGCACAACGCAGCTGGCGGTCTGGGTCGCGTCCGAGAGTCTCTGCAACAGGGGTTCGATGGACGGAGCATCGAGCAAGGAGGGCAGATGTTCCTGGAGGGACTTGGCAAGCTCTTGGTCTTGTTGTCAGCAGTTGCATGACCCGCAATGAATCGGACAAGACACACCCAACAGTGCCTTGACCTTCTCCTGGTCACTGCCTCCGGTTTTGTGGCTGCCCATTGCGGTTGATGGTTGGTGATGTCCTTTGGTCTTAGATGACAGCGAGGAAGACCGCCAAGGAGCTTGGTGTCTGAGTTCTTCTCTAGAGACGCAAGAAACAATAAAAGAAAATCAACGACGAAATGCCGCTCGAAGCGTTGGGGGCGCCACACAATTGTTGACAGGCTGATGTTGCCAAGAGAGGCAGGCGTATTCGGTAGAGCCTGCTTTGGACGTGAGGCGGGCACTTACCTTCTTGCCCAAGCCACAAACGTATTTGCCAATGCGAGGTCAAACAAGAACATCAAACAAGTTGACAAGCAACTTTCCTCAGACAACGAGGCTTGGAGAATCGATCGAGTCTTTGTACTAGAAACGCCTGCTACAGAAAGAAAATCCCGACAACAGCTCAAACTTGACTCCTCGGGTGAAATGCCCAGATGCAACAGCAATGATGCCCTGATATCCGTGCCGACCTCCTGCCCTGGACGCCTTCAATGGCCTGCCTGTTTTTGGTTTTGACCCGCCCACAACGCCGAAAGCCATAGCGCGCAAAAGTATATGGTCCCCATCGTCACGATTCTATAGGGTCGTTTGGTAGGAAGTTGCCCACGATCAGTGTCGGCCTGTCAACACACATGTTAGCGAAAAGGTGATGGGCTGGCAGTTCATCATGGGTTTTTAAACGCACAATTTGTGATCGTCTCTGCGGATCATAAAAGAGAAGCAGCATCGCACAACAGGGTGGGTCGCCTCGTCATCAGGACTCTTCAGCGTACACGCAGTGAGAAGTGTGTCGTGAGCTGGGTCGAAGGCGATGGTGCCGAACTCCTCCCAGTATCTGACTAACGATTCTTCCGTCAGGATCTCGTGCAAAGAAATCTTACCCTGTACCTTGTCAGTATGAACCCTAAGAGTAGGCCAGTCGCTGCACTTACGTCGCGGAGATTTTCGACTGGCACGTGAATCAACTCAGCCATCTCCGCGTTGCCACGGAAGATTTCGCCTGTTCGCCTCCAGCAGCACGCCGGAACTGCCATGCTGGCAAACACGCGATCGTACTCCATCAACTGTTTTTCGAACCACATCTCGACGTAGACGAGCTCCATGTCTGTCAAGGTTTGGGCCTTTTCTCGAAACTTGGGTCTAAAGCGGTCGATTGTGCGTAGAATTTTCTGTTTCGACCCCGAGGCAATATGGGAATCAAGATATTTGCCGAGGCGTAGATACCCCTTGACGTAGACGAATGGCTTTAACAGTCCAGCGTCGTACTTGGCCTTGAGCACGCGCTGCATGCGTTCCTCGGGTGTATCGTTGCCCGACGGATCTGCCGCTTGCAGGTAGTACTCCCGAGCCTTGTCCTTGTCGGCCTGTATAGCAGTGCTCGGTCGCGCGACGGTCTTGCCTTGGTCAACATTGGGCGGGGGCAACATGGACCCCGGCTGCTGCTGCTGCTGCGACTGTGTCTGTAGTTGGTGTTGTTGGTGTTGTTGGTGTTGCTGCTGCTGTTGCTGCTCTCGCGCATGCTGCTGCTGCTGATGCTGCAACTGATGTTGCTGCCTCTGTTGCTGTTGCAAGACGCTGTTACCAGCATTCGAGAAGCCTGGCAACATGTCGTTCTGCCCCTGACTTGACCGGTTGAACGCGGGGCTGCTCTGAGGTTCGTCGCCGAGTATGTTGCCGTCATCTAATAAGCTAGTCTGGAGAAAGTCATGCAGCAGGTTGAACTCGTTAGAGACCTCGGGGGCGATCATGTAGTTCTGATGGTAGTTCTGCATGTCTTGGTAGTGGTTTTGCGCCGTCAACCAGGCATCGGAGAATCCAGCAACTGTTAAACAAGGCACGCACGACGCATCAGTCCCAGTCACGGCACAAGAAGGAGAAAACGATCACAGCCCCGAGACTCGGGGCCTGAGCCCCCCCTCAGAGGCAGCCCAATCTGGCTCCAGGCACGATGCAGGCAAGGGGCAGGGTAACGCGACGCTTACATTGGTTCATATTACCGCCGCTGGCCATGCCGTTACCTTGCAAGCCAGAGACGGGCGAGGGTGACACGAGCTGCAGTGGGTTCCCCTGGCCTAGAACAGCGCTCCCAAAGGCGCCGGGCCTGGCGCCTGAGCCCGAACCCTGCCTGCCATTGGCATCGAGACGAGTCTCGACGGATGGCGGAGGCCCCATGGCCCCTGGGGATTGGTCGATCGAGCTGCGCGCCAGGTCGGGTTGAGACTGGCATTGCGACTGCGTCTCCGAGTCATCGACGGTAGACGCGCCGTGGAGGGCCTTGTTGGGCTTTTTCGTGTCGGGATCGCGCGGCTCGTCATGACAGAGATGGCCGATATTGCGCTTAATACATCGTGTACACGGTCGTTCCTAATGCCAATTGCCCACGTGTTAGTCATTAGGGTATCGTCGCGTTGGGTAGGAGGGGCTGGAAGAGGGAGGCCGTACGAGATCGCACGTCATGTGCTGGACGCCAGAAAAGAGACTACCCGTCAGCCGTGGTTCAATAGCAACAAGGTCATCGCATGTATGCAAGCGATCAGTTCATGCGGGGGGCCCGATGCAGGACAGTGGATGGGCGGACGAGGGCGTCGCGACCGGGGACAGAGATGGGCATGAGCACCAGTCCCACGGCATGGCCAGTTCGGAAGCTGCTTAGGCTGGTTCGCAGACGCAGGTCGTGTGCATCAGGAAGATGACTTACAGATCGTCGACAATAGACGCAAGCTGCAAAAGACATGGGCGGACCATGCCGCCAATCATCAGCCCCAGGTACGAAGACGACAACGACAACGACAACGACACGTCGGAAGTCCGAGCATGTGCGAACGAAGGAGAGGGGGTATGTCCCAACCAAAAAGGGGGACAGAGAGGGAGGGGCGCAGGCGGCAGAGGGACATACCATGATTCACCTTGCGGCGCTTCTTGGGACTCTTGTGGGTGTCGTTGGGCGCATTCTGCTTTTCGCGCTTCTGGTCTGCCTGGTCAGGCTTCGACTGCGAATCCTTGGACGTCTTGTCCATGGTGGCGGAGGCGTTCGACTCGCCCATTGAGGACCGATCCCATTGGGTCGAGAGGTTACGCAGAGAAGACGAGGGCTACGTCGTTCGCAGATGGGGGCGGCGGCTTGGTGCAGGACGAGAGCAGCAGCGCAACACGGGGGCTAGATACGAACGACCAAGGTTGGGGTAGCAAGTTTCCCCTCCCGGCGGAGGAAGAGTCGGAGACGCTGTTCGAGACGATGCGTTGTCGTTGTAGGAGTCGCGCTGGCCGTCAGGGCCTTTCCAAGGCTACACTCAACAGTCTCGCGTGAGGGATTGACAGGTCGCGTGTGTCGAGGGGGCCGAGGGCCTTTTTGGAGTCGAAGCTTCCTGGGCTGGGAGTGGGCGATCCAGGTGACATGAGGATGGAGGGAGACGCACGCACGCACGCACGCACGCAGCAGCAGAAGCAGCAGCAGCTCGCCAGCCAGGGCCAGTCCAATGCAATGCAATCCAATGCCAATCGCGAGGCCCGCCTAGAGGCCAGTTCCAGCCAGTGGGAGTGCCGCCAGAGTAAAAAAAGAACCTAGAGGTGTCGGGGTAGGCTGCGGGGCTTTGCGGGAGCCCGCTGGAGCGCCAGGGCACTCTTGTCTTGCCAGGCAGGCCAGGCAAGCCAGGGCACACTGGCGCTGCCAGAGCCGAGGGGTAGTTTGCAGTGGAGCCTTCGAGGCCCACTCCTGCTCAGCACCTTTGAGGGCGTACCTTACCTCTGTACAAACGTGCGCACATGTACATGCGTATTGCGCCTTCCTTCCTCCTTCCATCGACCTTCCCCGCTCAACTCCCCCAACCCAACACTGAGGGAAGGAAAGACTGCCTCGGGGCTGATGCTACCCTCCAATGGGCAGGAGCCTTCCCATATCTGCCAACCCGGAATGTTTTCGTTCTTCTACCCTCGAGCCGACCATTCCCGATCGCTCGTCGTGAAGGCATCGCCGAGGAGGCTTTACGGAGAAAAGGAGGGCGGCTTGCAAGATTGCTCGGTCATTGTTTGCTCTGTTCTTCATATTTCATTGGCACTCGTCATTATGTCTTGTCATGCCCCATGCTACCCCTCTCCTTCACCACCCGCTTCGCTCCCCTTTAGATCGCCACGAAGAAGCTCTTCTCCCCCTCCTTCGGCAGCACCCGCGCCGCCCGCATGATCGGGTCCTCGCAGCTCAACCGGATCCTTTCGGGCGTCGCCGGACTCTCTAGCCTGAGAAGCCCGTCGTCGCTCGCATCCTGGCCCACCGTTGCCTCGACGCCGTACTGCCGCCTCGCCGCCCGTAGTCCGTCTCGGATGGCGAAGAAGACAGCGCTGCCCATGAACAGTGGCGGCTCTCCGACGCCTCGGCTCCTCTGAATCGTGCGCAGGTCCTTCCATTCGACGTCTTTGAGCAGGCTCACGTTGAATGTTTGGGGAATGTCGCGGAAGCCTGGGATCTTGTATGCGCCAGGACCCCTCGTAAAGAGGTTGCCCGCCATGGGCCCGTTGCGCAGCCACAGTGACTCCTCCATCGTGAACAGTCCCATGCCCTGCACGAAAGCGCCCTGGATCTGGCCATAGTCGATGGCTGGGTTGATCGACTGGCCCACGTCCATCTTGATGTCCGCCCGAATGCACGTCGAGGTGCCCGTCAGCGTGTCGATCTCGACCTCGGCTGCCGCCACGCCCTGGGTGAAGTAGAAGAACATCTTGCCGCGGTTCTCGCCCCAGGTGTAGCCAATCTCTGGTGTCTTGTAAAAGCCTTGCGCCGAAAGGTTGACTCTGTCAAAGTATGCCGCATGTGCAAGGTCTTTCATTGTCGCCTTTGCACCGAGCTTCTCTCGGTAGGGGGCGAGGCGCTCGTTGAGCTGCTGGCAAGCGTTGTGGATGGCGTAGCCGTTGAGATCAGACGAGGCAGACGCCGCGGTTGATGAAGCATTGGCGACCGTGTTGGTGGCTGTCTCCGAGATGAAAACGTTATCGAGCGGCACTTGCAGAGCCTGCGCTGCGATCTGCGTCATCTTGGTGTGCAGACCCTGACCCATCTCTGTGCCGCCATGGGCCACCAAAACCGAGCCGTCATGGTAGATATGGACCAAGGCACCTGCCTGGTTGAGGAAGAGCGCAGTGAATGAGATACCGAATTTCGTTGGGATGAGCGCAAGGCCTCGCTTGCGCCACTTGTTGCTCGCGTTGAATTCTGTAATCATGGCCCTCCTTAATTCGTAGTGAGACTCTTGCTGCACCTGCTCGTACATCAGCGGCACGTGCCAGTCAGTGAGGGCTTGATTGAAGTGTGTCGTCTCGAGCGGCTTGTAGAAGTTGATCTCGCGGAACCTCTCTGCCGGGATGCCCAGGCGATCGGCCACCTCCTCCATGTACGTTTCAGCGATGAACATGCCTTGCGGTCCACCGAAACCACGGAAGGCCGTGTTGGACATGGTGTTGGTCTTGCACAGACGGCCTCGGATATGCACATTGGGGATCTTGTAGCAGCCGTCGGAGTGGCTCATGGCTCGCTCGCAGACGGCAGCGCTGAGGTCAAATGTCCACCCTGCATTGTTGAAAACGTCAAGGTCCAAGGCCTGAATCTTGCCGTCCTTGTTCACGCCGACCTTCCACCGACCCAGGAAGGGATGTCTCTGACCTGACGTGACCATGTCCTCTTCGCGCGTGAGCATGCATCGTACAGGCCGCTTCGTCTTCTTCGCCGCCAGGGCGAGTGGTGTGCTGAGCTGGATAGATCGTGTTTCCTTGCCACCGAAACCACCGCCGAGTCGCTTGACCCGGACGTTGATCTTGTTTGCCTGAACGCCGCACATGCGCGCCGCAAAGACTTGCGTCTCGTTGGGGTTTTGCGTGCTTGCGAAGATCTCCATTTCCCCGTCTTCCAGTTTAGGCACTACGAGCGCCGCCTGCGTTTCTAGGTAGAAGTGCTCTTGGCCACCCATTCTCGCGGTACCAGTGAAGACATGGTCGCAGTTCTTGAATGCCTCTTCCGCGTTTCCATTCTTGATCTCGCGGAAGTACTTGTGAAAGCTCTCTTGCTCGATGGCCTCCTCGATTGTGAGGATGGGCGGCAGTTCTTCGTACTCAACCTTCACAGCGCGAGCGGCCTCGGCCGCGCGAAGGGCAGTTGTTGCAAGTACCATAGCGATCGGTTGTCCAGCCGTGTAAACCATGTCCTCGGCGAAGAATACCTCATCAAAGTTGGGCGCACCCCAGCGATTGAGTTCTGGGGTGGGAATGTCGTTCTTGTCAATGTAATCAACAACGCCCGGAATATCGAGCGCAGCGGAATAGTCGACCGACTTGATCTTGGCGTGTGCCTTTGTGGAAAGCACGAAACATCCGTGGAGCTCGTTCTTGAGTGCGGGGGTGTCGTCGGTGTATTGAGCTTCTCCTGTGACCTGCTTCAGTGCTGCCACATGGTTCTTCGACTTGCCGACAGTCTCCTGTTCGTAAGCGGCCGCCGTGTCTTTGTCTTCAAAGCCCGTCGACAGGCTACGCTCAATCTCGTCGATGGCCTCCTTGTCGACATGCTGGTTCTGGCCATCAATATTGGTAACGACGTCGTGATAGAATCGGTAGAAGAAGCTGAAGGCGAGGGCTTTGCGATATGAGGCCATACCACCGGGGACACTGAACTGCAGGTCGAAATCGGTACCAAGCGCACTCATCGTGCCCTCGAGTGTCTCAAGCTCGGCCAGCCGCTTGCCGACAAGGTAAGCCATGGCATTTTTGGCAGCTACCGTCATAGCAGCCATGCCACCATAGATGATGTTGCAGTCGGTAACGACACCACTATCGTCGAGTTTGATTCTGAGAGCACCTGTGACAATGGCAATATCGTCATCCTTGCGCTTGGCTTGCTTGTAAGCACGGAAGAACTCCCCCTTGCGCTGCGTTACTGGGATCCGGATTGACGCGATGATGGCGTCCTGCGGCAGAGCAGTGCGGCGGTACCCGGTAAAGAATTCGGCCATGGGAATTTCCGTCTCCTTCGTGTGCGATTTGGCCACCAGGACAGCGTTGGCAGCCCAGAAGACGGGGTTCAGATCGGAGATGGGAGACGCGGTGACTAGATTGCCAGCAGGGGTACCGACGGTGCGAATCTGGCGACCAGCAAAGTACTTCAGTGGCTTGTGCATAGCTCAAAACTTG